AAAAAAGAAAACATCAGGTAACATTTTGATATTAATAATATTTTGCTGATTGTACATATGTAAACATGTGCATGTAAGACCGTCTATGTAAACTTTCACAGTGGTTGCACAAAAACATAGACTAACATGCAGAAATGTATTTCTCTGAAAACCAACAGGTAGTTTTTACAGATTGTGTGTACCCTATGTATTTTAGCTTCTCATCTGTCGTTAAGTGACCATATGTTTGCTCTGCTTGCCCTTAGTGCTTGAGATGAATGACTTTACCTCGTTAACTCCATGGGGTCTGGCAGGTACAAAAGCAGGGAGGCCTGAAAGTGCTGGTAACGGAAGCTGACAGGCAGGATGTGGATGATTTTTTTAAAAAGAGAAAGTGGTAAAGTTATGTCATAGGTACACATGGGAGACTCATAAATGCTATGGTGGGCCTGTTGTGACAGAAAGTGAATCATGCCACACGTGCTGTGGCAGTGAGCAAGAGGGGGAGAATCACCCTAAAGATAGAGGAATCTAAGGATGTGGCATCAGTGTCGATGAGTGGTGAACATTGCAGTATTTCTTCAGGTCTGAGATACTTTTCATTTTACTTTTTAACATATCCGAAGTTGCAGTATTTTACAATTGATTGTGTCTGTCAGCCAGGTGGCAGGCATGACGTGTTATCTGGGCATATGCAAACGTCAGGAGAGCAGGCACTTGAAAGGGTGGAAAAGATTTCTTTTCCCCACCCATCACAAGGTCTCCTGTAACAAAAGGCGGATTAACAAGAGAAAAGCATACAGATTTATTTAATATGAGTTTTCTGTGAGATGGGAGCCTCTGTGTGAAGTTGAAGACCCAAAGAAATAGGTAAATATACATATTTTTATGCTTAGGTTTGAGGAAGAGTAGACAGTCATGGAAAAACATGATTGGACGAAGGGGGCATGATCTAGTGGGAATAAACTGGGGAGAACTTTGCAAGGCCTATTTGTGTGGAGTGCTCTCGGTGTCCCTGTGTTTTCAGAGACAAAGATGTTCCTTTCCTAGGGAAGATGCCTCTGGAATGAGGATCTTATGACCTGCTTCAAGGAGGAGGGGAGGGAAGGTGAGAGATCACGCTAGGTTTTATGACCTGCTTCAGAGGAGAAGGGCAAGGGGACGGTGAGAGAGACTTTCCTGTTTCTGTTGTTTCTCAGATGCCAAGTCGCCAAATTTTGGAACAGCGTGTCCTAAACACCTTCACACCAAACTTTCGGGGTGGGTGTCCCCAGCTTGAAAAAAAATCCTGCAGACAAAAATGAAGCACTAGTTAAGCCGTCTGGATCCAGCCAGTTTTATGGAGGGGATTGGGAAGGTGTGAATCACACTTGTTTAGCCACATTCCCAAAGTGGGAGTCAGAAATAAGCTGGCTCTAGATAATTGCAAAGCCGGCTTAAGAACTTCTGCACCCTTGGCTTTGAGGCTTGTAGTTCTGTTACGGATTATTTAAGAAATGCTGCATCACCAGTGCTCATGAAACACAGGACACCACTGCGTGGAAAATCGTGAGCATTCATGATTCAGAGTTGAAAAGTGACGAGAGCAGTTAGATTTTAAATGTGAAAGTTTTGGAAAACTTTAGCCAATATACCTCACTTATATATCCCTTATTAAGTGTACCCAGTAGTGATAGATAATAAAAATGTGTCTAAGTCTAAAGGAGCCCTTCCAAAAAGAATTAAATAAAAATTTGAAGTGGTATGAAGGGATTGTACGTATTTTAATTGGCAGCTTTTCTTTTAGAGGTAATAAAATAATGGTGTATCTAATAAATGGCATCTTAAATTTGCTGAAATATAGTACACCGTTGTTATCTTAGGAGAAAGCAAGCAGTTTATGGAGATTGTGAGAGGCTGTGTGTGTGAAGGGGTTGCACTTGTCAGAAGTGACACAGGGCCTTTGAACCTGCCCATCCTTAGACGGAGAATAAGGTGGCCCCCGCAGATATCAAAGCAGCCGAGGTGTTCCCAGCTAAGCTGCAGACATCTGCCTCAACAGATCTTCTGATGCAACTGCCCAGGCAAATGTATACCAGCACCGTCAGAGGTCCCACTCATCCTCCTGTTGGGAGGCAAAGCACATGTTTACCCTCACAGGGGAGAGGAGATATCTTACCCATCACTGGGTTCATGGCTGATGCCCCTATAACAAAAGACAGATTAACGAGAGAAAGACAAATTTATTTAGTTTAAGTGTTATGCAACATGGGAACCTTTAGAAATGGAGACCCAAACAAACAGGGAAAACTATTTTTATGGACAGCTGTGCAGAAGTTTGACTGGAAGACACAAGGGTATGATTTAAGGCAATAAACCGGGGAATGGGGCCCGTTTGTTCGGATTCTTCTTGGCATCTTTGTGTGACATTCCTTTTCTCTGGGTATAGGGCAGGATCCTTCTGAAATGAGGCCTTATGACCTATTTTCAGAGGAAAGTCAGCTAGGTTTTATGGCCCACTTCAGGGGAGAAGGGGTAGGGAGGATTCTTTTTAGTTTCTAGGGCCTACTTCTGCTATTTCTTCAAATGTCGAGTGACCATATTTCGGGCTAGCGTGTCCTGAACTCCATTACTCTCTTAGTCACAGAATTTGTGAAGAAACAGGTTGTGGATCCCAACCTGTTTGTTAATAATATATGTGTGTGTCTACATTTACACACACACACACACACACACACACACACACACGCTTAGTTCCTTTTGTGCTGCCTTCAAAATACCACAGACTGAGTAATTTATAAAGAAGAAAAATTTATTTCTCACAGCTCTGGGGTCTAGGAAGTCTAAGATCAAGATGCCAGCATCTGGCGAGGGCTTTCTTGCTGCTTCCTCACATGACGAAATACAGAAGGGCAACAGAGAACGAACCCATTTCTCGTGAGCCCTTTCTAGAGCGGCACTAATCAATCCATGAGGGCTCCACCCTCATGACCTAAACACCTCCCCAAAAGCCCACCTCCCACCACCGTTAAGTGAGGGGTAGACAGAAACTCCTTGCTGATACAGTCTCAGCCCTCGGTAAGATCATAGAGGGCACATAACAGACTCTGTTCTTTAGTTTTCATGAGGGGACCAAAATAAAGGAGAGACAAAATAGTATCTACCTCATAGGCACAGCTGGCTTCATGGGCCTGTGACTTGTGCGGTTGTACAGGCTTGGTTGAGTGCTCTGCTATCTCCATCTTGAAATTCCTAATTTTGGACAGAGACTCTGTATTTTTATTCTGCACTGCACCCCACAAATGATATAACCAGTTTTGTCCATAAGGTTGTTGGGAAGGTGAAATGAGAACTCATGAAATACTGAGTGTAGATTTCAGGATGTAGCAGGACTCAACAATCATTAGATGGATATAATCATTTTTTTTATAGACAGAGACAACCAAGATAAGTGCATTATAAACATTTCATTTCATCATGAAAAAAAGTGGTACGAGATAAATAAATAATCAGTCTCATTTTATAGATAAATTGAAGCCCAAGAGTTAAATAACCTGCTAAAATCACATAGCTCGTAAATGCAGAGCTTGGATTCAGACCAAGTCCATCTCACCCAAAGCCCATACCACTGACCTGCCCTATTAAGTATTAGTTCCTTTCCTTCTTTCCCAGGGGACCCTCTCTGTAAAACCTGGTATTTAAGTTTCCTTGACACCTCTCAGCAGCCCAAGCCTCACCCCCTACAGGAGCTTCAGAGCCCCTCAGCATGATCCAGAATTTCCGTGAGACCTGGGACTGTGGGGCCACAGCCAATGCAAAGCACAAGTCCCCTTCTCACCCTCAGTCGTGCCGCCCTCACTCATCCCATGCTCTCATCCCATCCTGTCCTGTCCCCAAGCCTGCCCAGAATGACTGGCTTAGAGTTCCACAGCTGCCCAAAGATGACCAGCCTGGTGACAACTCAGCTTGCTTCCTCGGATTCCTGACAAACTTAGCCTCGATGACTAACATCTGATGCCTCCAGACCTACGTGTGTCTGGGAGATCTGCCGGCATCGGGTCCTGGGAAAGAGGCTGTTGGAGATGCCTGCCCCCAGGAAACTGAGGCCATGGCCATCTGTCCTGTGGCAGGGATCCCTTGCTTTCCTACGGTGCCAGGCCGTGACTTGCTCTGCCCACTGTTTACCCTGCCAGGAAAGAGAGCCGACTCATTCCACCACACTGCTCAGACGCAGGCAGGCGGCTTGCCGTGAGCAAGTTCTGGTGCAGGCATGCTTGTGGTGTGTGGCCTCTGAGCGGGGAAGTTAATACGTGAGCGTTGCAGCTCTTGGATAGCGAGATTTGAATTTTGAATGTGACAATGAGACTGTTTGTTGTTTCAAAGCAATTCCCTAAGTGGCTGTTTGCTCAAGACTTTTGTAGTGTGAACAGAGATTTGGGGGAGGGGGAGAAGCCATCTGCTCCAGAATAGTCTTCCAGTGACACGATCAGATGACTACAGAGCAAACTGGAGGGAGTCCAATAGAAAGTTCCTGTCTGGTGTATCCAGCCCCAGCCCGAGATCTCAGGCCATTGTGTTTACGTGGACACCACATGTGGGTTTCAAAGGCGAGGCCACAATAGCTGGGCTGTGAGATGAGAGCAGAGAATGCCAAGGAGGGAAGAGGGTGAGCTTTCTCAGCTCTGTCTCACCAGCACGCCATTCAGAAAGTGAAGCCATCTTGCATTTAAATTAAAAAGTGAGCCTTCCGAGAGGCTCAGTCTCTTTCCATTGTGCCTTTAGCTATACATGTGATTACAATTAATTTATCACATCAAATGAAAAAGTTGCATCCTTTTATAAGTTCATGATTTTATTTGCTCATCTTCTATTACTGTTTAAATTCTGAAATCTATTTACTTCCCTTAAAATACAAGACAATTTTCTTGTTTTTGAAATATGGCCTGTCTCAATTTGCAAAACATCCTTGAGTCTTATTTTTTCCTCTAAATATGTATGTGGTTTTCTTTCTTTCTTTTTTTTTTTTTCTTTTTTGCTATTAGGCATTCATGCAGCCTCACTTGCTGGGAAATGAGTTCACACATTTGGAGTTTCCAAGGAGAGTACAGAGAAAGGAACTTGGAAAGAAGATGCTCTACAGGGACTTTAATATGACAGGCTGGTAAGAACGTGCCTCCCTCTGCCTGGGCGCCACCACGGCATGCGTGGAGGAAGCGTCACCACCATAAAAAGCCACTTCCACAGTCTGGAGGAGGAGGCGCAGCCAGAGACCTGGGTTTGTGGTGAAGGACAAGGGGCCACGCCTGCTTCTGGGTCTTTTGCTTAGGACCAGGTCTCAAACGACAGGCGCTAGTTTGTTCCCTTTGTCCTCTGAGACCCTCCTTGGGCACACTGGACCCCATGAGGCTGACCCGACTCCTTGCTTCACGTGGAGCAAGCATTTGGGGGCTTTTTTTTTTTTTTTTTTTTGAGTCTGAGTCTCACTCTGTTGCCCGGGCTAGAGTGCCATGGCATCAGCCTAGCTCACAGCAACCTCAAACTTCTGGGCTCAAGCGATCCTCCTGCCTCAGCCTCCCAAGTAACTGGGACTACAGGCATGCACCACCATGCCTTGCTATTTTTATTTTTTACAGAGATGAGGTCTTGCTCTTACTCCTGTGCTCT